TGTTCTAGAGTTGAAAACCTGGTTTTGATAGTTTGTTTATGATCCATCCACTACATAACACAAAATAAATCTACATCATGATTGTGTCAAGTGAGGTTTAGATTAGATATTATCATAGAATCGTAGAATCAGCTGGGTTGGAAAGGACCTCCAAGAAAAAGGTTCTTCACTGGTGGTTGGGCACTGGAACAGGCTCCCCACAAAAGTGGTCACAACACCAAGCCTGACAGAGTTCAAGAAGATTTTGGATGATACTCTTGGGCACTTGGGGATGGTCCTGTGCAGGGCTAAGTGTTGGACTTGATGATCCTTGTTGGTCCCTTCCAACTCAGCATATTCTGTGATTCTGTGATTCTATAAGCTTGGAAGGGCTAACTGGAGATTCCGACTCTAGTGGCAGGGAGAGAAGCACAATCATGGGAGCTCCCCATTTCAGCATTAATTCTCCACTTAGAGGCTACATGATCATATACACCATGTTCTCGGAATAAACTTTTTCACCTTCAAAGTTTTTGCTGAAACTGCAATATTATACCAAGAGCATCGAAGCAGAGGAGTGTTATATAGAGTGGAGAATGCAGCAGCTGAACTGGAAAAAGGACCATTTCAACTTGATGCATTCATCCTAAAAAAAATCAAGCAAAACTTTCATCCTACACGCTCTTGATTCATGCATGCTTCATTACTGGAATAATTGAACCTGGAGTAGTTGCCCTAATCAAAAGAAACACAAAATCAAAACATAAGAGGAAAACAAAGAAGATGGAAACATCTGGTGAACTGGGGCAAAAGGCAGATCTGGGTTTGCAGCTTGTTTCTGCCCTGCCTTTCCGTGATTTGAATAAGTTGTATAAGATTTCACTGTTTCATTAGGCCAGGTAAAACACAGGAATAGCAATCCTTCCTCTGTTTCCCTTTCCCACCCTATCTATTTAGCCTGTCAGTTGCCTGACACATGAGCTCACCTCTCTGTTTATAGCATTCCAGTTTTGATGGGGATGTCTGGCTGACACACGTAATTAATGGTGGTAACGAAAATCAGAAGTCTTTTGCAAGGATCTTTCCTGTGTGGCCAGGATTTACAGGTGATTATACATGGCAAACACAGTGTATTACCCCTTCATTCCCTCTCTACACAACTTTTGTGTCCAGTTTCTATTCAGTTGCTGGACTGTCTTAGCACACACTTATAGGCCTCCTTTTTATACGGTACATTGGATTTAATCCCTTTGTGCCTCTGAATATAACTATAGGTTTGGGGTTACCTGGACTTTTTATGCATGTAAACCTGATGTTTTACACATGTGGCACAGTATACTTAAGCACAGTATTGCAATCTTTCCTGAAGCCCCATTAAAAGAAATAAGAAAAGGGAACAACTATAGTAATTAGGCTAGTGTCATGTATGCAGTGGGTCAGAGCTTTGATATTAAGAGTAATAGAGCATATTATTTACTTAACAGTGACTGTGTGCTGTATCTGTGTATGGTGCAGACAGAAAAGCTCAGGAGGAAAGCATATTCTTAAGAAAGTTGATGTGAATGGAGTTGTCTGAAAAATACTGATGTAGTACTGCTTGTACCTGTTTTATTTGTCAGGCATTTTATGGGAGAAAGTCGAAAATGCAGCTGGAGATGAAGAGAGGCATGAAAAAAGGAGGGATATGAGTAAAGTTAAAAGGTGGAAAAGTCTGAAAAAGTATATGAGGAGCAGCTAGTTAGGTAGGCTGTATTGTCTGAGTATTCAGTGATGGGAGGCGAGAGAATAGTTAGGAAAAACTGGAGGTGGGGATGAGTGGTTTTATTTTTAATTGGATGAGGAATCCAGGAGAAAGGTTCCAGTAAGTGGCACCCAGACAGCCATTCACTTTCAGCATTTTCTTCTACCCCTTTTCAAAAAGCTACCCATCTTGACCAAATGTTCAAAATTTCTTTTACAGGTATAGTCACCAAGACACACATGATCAGTTGTCTATAAATTGAAGCTTGCCTATGATATTTTGCTCTCACTGTGGATTTGGACACTGTAGAGGAAAAAGACATATTGCATGCACACGCTGTACAGAAAAATCTGGTAACAAACAACTAGAGGCTGATTAACAAAGATTGTTACATCATACCCAGAAAGAGAATGATTTCAGGCTGACAGTATTATTTTAATTTTATTTTAACATGCCTCTAAAATGTATTGTGACTGACCATATGAAAAGTTAACATTTGTTTTTGAATGAGTGGACTAGGTGGACATATGAAAGAATACATTCTCTACTAGCAAATCAGTTTTATATTAGCCAAGGCAAAACCTTCACAGCAAATGTATGTAAATCACTAATTCTCGGGGCACCGAAGGGAATGTACTTCATGCTATAACTTAAATACTAATGAAATCAAGTGAAAATGATAGTCATTAGTCAGCTGAGCCTTGATAGGGTTCCCTGTGGACTGATACAAATTCACTATTAGAAATGGATTCTCTCACAGTCCACAGTGAGCATTTAATCCTTCTGTAAAGCAGATTTAAATTTGATGTTTAATATGTCATTTTTTCATTTCAGGTCTCTTATGTTTCTGTATTTGCAGCTTGTGTTTAATCTTTTTTAAGTCAGTCTAAGTTTTTTATCTGCATTCTCTTGGTTTTATGTGCATATTATTGGCCTATGTGAATCATACAGCCACAGGTACTAATGATAATCAGTGAAAGTGAACTAATTAGCACACAGCTCAAAATAATGATGTCTCTTACAAGCCAAATGACCCACTTTAGTTTCAGTTCACACAAGGAATGTGTTACCCAATAGAAATTTAGGGGTAGCATTTTGAAAGTTATCCTAGATAAGGATGGGTATAAACATAATTTTTCTCTTTCCTTACAGAAAAATAATTTTAAATGTTTTTTCCAGTATGTGGTTCTGACAGATTACTTGAAAATAAATAATCAGAGGCTCACACACACATGCACACAATCACACATACAATTTTTGAAATCTTAGTTGGGGTCATTTGAGATGAGTAAGATGGGAGATGCTTTCCAGCATTCCTGTGAGTCAAATTCTGCTGTCTGGCATCGGGAGTACATGCTGCCCACTCAAGTTTTGTACTAATACTAACTCCTCATTCCCTTAATGTTTGTCAGATTTGCATAGGAAACACAAGTGGATCAGCATTAAGCCTTACTTTGAGCAGAATCTTTACTCAGAGAAAACTCACACTTAAATGAATAGGAACCCTTCTCTACATAGGAAAAAAAATGAAGAGAATGTAAATTTCATAGCACTTCTTAAGAGTATTGTGTTATCTTCAGGTCGTCTTGGCTTACTACTACGTCTAATAATATTTAGTACTAGAGAATTGCCAGACTATAAAAGAAACAATGCACAGTATTCATGCCTCGTGTGCACGGTGCACTTTTAAAGTTGGAGGGAAAATCTCCAGGAGTAATGAGAATTCCTGTGGTCTGTGTGTTTTACAACATTATAAATTATAAAACATAATGCTATGTAAAACCAAACCAGGGAACAAGCTCAATCATGGATTACTGATTTTCTAGGTGCTTGATAGTCACCATGTTCCCTGTTAGGCAACACTTTCCAATGGAGCAATCAGGCATGGTTCATGGACTGACTGTATCATTCCCAACAGGCAGGATGGACAAGATAACACAAGATTTGTTTCTCTCCAAATATCCACAGTAAAGTGCAAGCTCCGAAATGACCCTCCATGCCCACATTTTATCCTTAGGCATGCAAATCATGCCTTCTTTCCATGCTTCCCTGACCCTTCCATTCTACCAAACTGATTTTTTCCTTGTTCATTTAATACAGATGTACATTAAATTTCTTCTTCTCCTTAGTCAGTCTTTATATATAAACCTCCAAAATTCTTGAAAACTTATAATAATCCGTTTTGGCACTCAATTTGCAGCAAACCTTGATGATGTTGATGTTGAAGACACCAGGGTGGTGGACAGATGTTCAATAGTTGGTCTCTACTTCTTTCATAAGTACAGAGACCTTGTCTTACACCATCTGGCAACCAGGTGTTGGAGTGTAGCTCTCCTACTCTTATTTGATGGTGTCCAGTCCCTGGTGATGATGAAAGAAAGTTGGTGTGACTTACTTTCTTTCTAGAAAGCAAAATCATACCTCCTCTCTAATTTGCTTTTTCAGTCTGATTACAAACCAAGGGTGTTATTGGTCTAATCAAGCTCTGATCAGGAGTTCCCCAATCCTGCTTTAAATGAAACAGTTTTTACTGACTATACGGAACAGGAATTAAGCTAATTCCTCTCTCTGTATCATAGTAAGACATATTAGAAGAAAGCACCTCCATAAAACTTGTTAAATTTTTATGTTTGACCTTTACCAGCACAGCAAAAACAGGCAGCTTTTGTGTAAATTGTAAATTTGTAAATTGTAAATTTGTGTAAATTGGTTTAGATATTTTGGACTGAGTTTTGAAAAAAAATGGCCTTTAATCTAACAAACTTATTGTGCAAAGGTATAAACTTTTGACCTGTTGCTTTTGCTAATAAAAAACCTTAGCTCGGAGCAGAATACAATTTGCATGTAAGTTCTAATCAGAAGATGCTAAAGAGAACACAACTTAGAGCAGTCAGAGTTTTCAGCACTCTCCTGATTTACACTAGAGAGGATACGAAGCTGTGGGCTTGACATGTAACTCCACCTTCCCACCCCGACATGCACCACTGCGGCCGTGCTATGTAGTCTGTCATCTTCTTTCCTCAGGGCTCCATCTCCACAGTGTTTGTTTCCCTCCCTTATCTTTCACAGAGGTCTGACCTCTGCCTCGAGCAGTGCTGGTAGGTGGAAAAACAGGGGGTAATGGAGAGCGGTGAGTGCTTTCAAAAACGTGATGAATGTGCTGCTTATGTTCAGATTACAATTAAATGTTGTTTAGGATAAATATTCCATTTTATGACATATTTTGTTTCCACAGTTGCCAAGCAGGGGGTGAAGTGAAATTTGTAACCTATCCTCTAAATCCAAAGCAAAAAAAAATAGAAAAAGCAAATCTGATTTTTTTAATTTTTTTATGTGCGTGTGTAGGTAACTGCCCTTCCTAACAAATCTGGAACTGCTGTCTAGTAATTTATGCTGGTCTGATGTTAGTTTGTTTTCTGGATGAATGTGTTGGTCTAATTCCAGAGACATCTGCCTGAAAAAATACACAGAAAAGAGAAAAGTATATTAAGCTTAACCACTGCTTAGTAAATACTTGAGGGGGGAATTGTTAGGTCAGATTCTGATTAAGTGTTGTGAATCTACTGGACTTAAAAGACTAGTTTGACTGCTAAGGCTCAAAGCCCAGAAAAGAAAGCAGAAGAACTATTGAACACTAAACACTAAGGAGTGCCAATGACAACTCCTTCTTCAAACAAAGCTATCGGGTTTTTGAAGAGTCCAATTCTTGCGGTGGGTATGTGAAGAGTGTATTTTAGGGAACATCAAACCAGCAGATGAGAAACCTTTTTTTGGTAAAAAATTGGTTATGTGGACTATTGATCTATTAAAACAGAATAAGGCACTGACAAGGAAGTGACTTTGTTGCTACTGATGACATGCACATATTTTGTTTCAAGAGGGTTTCTAAATGGAAGAAATACAGGTTCATGACCTCACTTCAACCTATAGATAGCTACTCCTCTTGATACTTGATATTTTGGTGCAAGGAACTTTAAACTGATCATTTTGAGGATTACAGAATAATAACTTTGGTGTTATATGTATTTACCAATAATATAAATTGTAAGGTATTATTTTTAACAGCTAGGAGCTCAGGTTTGATGCAATAATTTTCTTGGAATATTTCATAGTTTTTTAAACAAAGTATGATGGTCAAAAATTCCAGTAAAATGAAAAAAATAAAAGGAAATGGAGTTATAGAACAGACCAATTTTTCAAGGTCTACACTATAGGACCTCTAGTAGACGGCGACTTTATTTTCATATCTAGCTTGTCTACAGAAAGTAGCGATGTCTACGATGTGATATCTTCGACCTCAGTCCAAATTACTTTTCCCAGCCTCTCCCATTTGCAGAGCCATAGTGCCCAACATGGTTCCTTCATGGAGAGTTGGTCTCTCCACGCTCAGATACAGCAGATAAACTGGGGTAGCCGTAACAGTAAGCAGCATGAAGCTGCAGAAACCACATGGGCACCTGGAAAGAAGTGCTGGAGCTAAGGTCTTCTGGAGAGAGGTTTATGACCTCTAGAAGACCTCTTTCAACAACTTTTATCTGACGGTACAAGGGCTATGTCTTTGGCCTTTTTCACGGACAGAACAGGTTCTCCTGCCTGGGCTAAATAAAAAGGTGGGGAAAAAGTCTGATGGCTAAAATTCACAGGAATCATCTGCAAAATTCTCTCTCCTTTTTCTTCTTTCTCCTCTCAGGCACTGTACACAGTCTGAAATCAGAATTTACTACCATTTTACTGATGATTCAAGAGGCAGTGACCTTCTTTCCCAGAAAAATAATGAGTCATCAGCACAAAGCACAGTAAAATGTAGTCTTTAAGTGGCCCTTCTTCCATGTCTGCCTATTTATCTAAGGACTACAAAATTTATCATGAGCATTAATGCTTATAAATTAAGTGGCAGAAGGTGGGGCGAACTTCTAATCTAGAACAGATTCCCGATGCGTTCAATGAGATCAACTCTATTTTAACTCTACTACCTTTTAGTGTGTTTATTTAGCTGATGAAGACAGCCTAACTTAGCAATATATAGCAAGGTGCTCAAGGTCCTGTATGAGTGCTGTGGCAAATTCAGTAACTAACACAGAGATTTTAACTCCCGCATCTCTGCTTCAAATATATTTTCTTGTTATGCTCCATGGATGTTACTCAGACGACTCATAGGAAGCAGATGTTTCTGTTGGAAATGTCACTTTTCTGGCAGTAACATTTCAATGTGATGGTTATTTGAATAGCACAAACGACCTTCCTGCACCTTTGTTATATCTTTTTGAGAGTTTTCTTTCTGAGAGTTTTCTTTTAGCTTGAAATTATATTTTAAAGGCCACTTCTAGCACCATTCATAGTAGTGCAGCAGCTATTAATTCTGACTGCCCTGATTTTCTTTTTCTCTTCCCTTTAACAAGTTTTTCACTAGCTTTCATCAGTATAGATGAGGCCAGTGAACATAGCAAATATAAAATAGATCTGTGAGACTCACTTATTAGACACATTTTATTTAAATGTGTGTGCAGCTTGCCATGGTGTCAAGCCAGGCAATGCATAAAAGTGAAAAGCACAGCCAGCAGTGATGAGAGATGGAAGCTGGGGTTGGTGGCTGCTTTGTGTTGTCCTAGCACTGCTACCTGCTTTGGTGATTAACCTGCATTATTCACACACTAGAGACACAGTCTAGGCTGACGGTAGGTAGGATTCAAATATATAAATTCTAAAGTTTAACTTGACCTATGCATAAGTACTTAAAACATAAAACATTTACTTAGGCATACAGCTCAGGATCACGATGTTTGCTGTGATTTGAGGGTCAGCAGTTTTTTCTTTCCTTGCAGTGATGTAGTTTGATACATAATGAACTGGTGTGTGCTGCTTGTCCCATATGCCTGTACATATATCTTTATACGTAAATCTGTATGTATATTCTGTGGTATGTCTGTGTATGGACAATATATGTACTTATACACAAAGTGTGTGTGTATACAGTCCATGCGAAGTGTGACAGATTTCTCTGAAGCTCTGTGAAATATCTTTTCTCTGATGCCTTAAGGTTCATCTGTTTTTTTGATTTTTCTAATTTTTCTAAGTTTTATAAGTAGTTATATAGTAAAAGTAGATTTAGAAGCGGCAGCACTTATTCCCTTACCCTTAGCACAGAAACTGCTCTCATTCTCCACCCCTTTTACCCGAATTCCCCACATCATTATCCCCTGAATTCCAGTAGAAATGTTTAGTCTCTCTTTAAGATAGGCCTCTTTTGTCTGAGGACATCTAATCCTGGCCTGAACCACAAAAGTACAGTCAAGAACTGGGTGAATATATACCCCCTGTATCCTGAAGAAGATGAAGATTGATGAAGAGAGGGTCTTAAAGATCCCAGTCCCAATTCCCAAGGGTCATGACTGAGGGTGGTCCAGGGCAAAAACCATGGGATGGAAACACCTGGAATTGGACAAACAATATTAAAAATTGTAACATCTGTAACTGGGGGACTCGTGTGTCTTGTAACCTATGCCTAGGCACAAATTAAAATCCTTTCCTTATCACCTTCAAAACTAATTTGTCTCGAAGTTTTTTTCTCCCTGAATTTTCTTTTAGGCATCACTCTTAACTAAGCTGAATTTTTAAAAAAGAGAAGTCCAGTATGATACCTTTTTTCTCCATATGAAATAATGCAATATCAGTGCTGCTACTTGTTGATACACATCTGATTTGTACCATCTGATGTCCAATAGTGTATATCAGATCACTCAATCTTCAATCTTCTTCATTGGCTTGCTTCTCTGGTATTCCAGTATGTGTAAATTGTTTGGCACACTAGAAATGAGATGTGGATAATGATCTTGCTAATGCTGATGAACTATATTTCCTATAAAAAAAAAAAGATGTTTATAATATCTTTTTTTAGATATTGGAAGAAGAAATGTATCCCTTATTAGGTATTTTGTCCCTTCTGCAGCCCTCTAAAATGTCAGTAATTTACTTTCTTATTTTGTTTTTGAAAGTTCATTACTCTAGACCTTGTTTGCATCACAAAGGTTGCAATAGTCTTAGGGAAATATATAACATGCCTTTATTCCTAGATAAACTAAACTTAAAATTTGATTAATTACATCTCTTTTTACCTTAGATCTGCTTAAAAATTCTATTCAAACTATAATGTCATCATTAAGACTCTTTCAGCATGGCAGAACTGACAATAGTTAGTTCCAGTATGTAATTAGGACATATAAAAATCTTCACTATAAACAGAATTTTAATACCTAAGACATCAACAGAGGAGAGATTTTATTTTATGGGATTGCTTTTATCCTATTTTGAGCATCTAGCATGAGCCAGTCTTTGTTAATGTGCAATGAAACAATGACAAGATCAAGTCTACTAGAATCCAAATTTTCTCGTGTCAGGAAGAGTTGTGGGCTTTTTTCCCCAGCAGCCTTACATGGTTCTTCAGTGCTAAGCAGTGCTGCATTAGTTCTGACATGATATGCAAGATTGAATAGTTTAGACAATATTCCACTCTTACTTAGCCAATGTCTGTAATTTCTTTTCTTTTACTAATTTATTTCTTTTCATTAGATGTGAAGATAATAATAGAGCTAACTTTTGTTTTGAATAGATAGGCATTAGAAGGGTATTCTTTATCTTTCTGTCCTTATGGATTTAGCTAGCATTAATTTTCATTTGTAATCCTGATTGCAAAAGGCATGCACAGAAATCCTTATATTGCTCAGTGTTCTTAGTGGAGTACAGAGGTGTCAAATACTATCAGGTACTAAATTAGCAAGGACATTTTCACCGAAATTGATTTCTTGAGTCTTTGGAATCCTTGAAATCACTCAAAGTCCTTGTTGCTTTTCAGGTACCCTATTAATCTTTATAGGGTTGTATTGGCATTGTTGGCTGAAGCTTTCCTGCTCTGCTCTCTGGACAGATGTGAACAGACCACAAAGAGGCAGGGATCCACTACCAATTCATAAGAATCCACATCAGGTCTCTGAAATGGAGAGAAGAATCATATTAAAAGCAGTCATAATCACAAAGTGTAAATGAGACATAGGGTGCTGCATTATTCCTGGATAAAGATAATGCCTGTGTTGATCTCACTGTCAACTTACCTTTGCCTGTCCCTAAGTGAGATTTAAAATCTAATAATAACACAATGGTTCAGAGCTGGGTAAGTGATTCTCATCAAAACTCAACATCTACCAAAAATTAATAGTAGAAATGAGATAAAAAAAAAGAAAAGAAGAGCAAGAAGAAAAGAAAAAAAGCTTGTAACAAGGAGTAGGGAGTCTGGTAGAGGGAGGGAAGGAGGTGGACTGCAATTGTAAAACCCCATTTGCAGGGAAACAAAGAGCAATCAATGTAATAGCAGTATAAAGCAGTCAAAAAAGGACAAAGGCTGCAGTCTGACATCTTTTATTCCTGAGCCCAGGTGGAGCTATAATTGGCAGTCCCAGCTTGAAGATGAATACAGTGTAAAAGAGCCCTCCCCTTGGAAGAGCAGACAAAGAAGAGTCGGGTTTCCAGAACAGTCAAAAAATATCTCTGTTTTTTTAAAGGGGGGAAGAAAGGACTGAAAAAAAGAAAAAAAAGTGGTCATAGGGGGATACAATCTTGGCATATTATGAAATTTGTGTCTGGTATCTGTGAATTCCATGGCTGCTTGAGCTCCCTTTACCTTCCTGCTCACAGTCCTTACAGAGCAGCAAGAACAGTCCCCTAAAGAGTGCCTGAAAATCTCACAAAGTGTTGCTGGCCATATCTGCTGATTTGGTTGCCAAATGTTGATCCCTCTGTTCACAAGTTAACAGGGATGATAAAAAACCTGGACAGGATCAGCCGTGACCACTGACATTTAGATTTAACTAAGATGGGATGGCTGCTTTCTTGCTACACAAGAAAGAAAAAGCATTTTGCCGCTGAATGTCCTCAGCTACTGCTCAGAATTGCAGCTATAAGGCTCCTTCCATAAATAAGTGCACACAGACTGTTCGTTGAAACATAAAAATATTAAATAGGAGCAGGGAGGTAAAAATGACACGTCCTTTTCAATGTAATTTAATATCAATAGTTTGTGTCTCTGTTTTCCTGACTTCAGCTCTGTAAAATTAAATTTTTTTTTTATGTTCATGAAATTTCTCTGAGGTACAGATCCCAAAGTACATAGATTTGTTGATAAGAGTGCTTTATTCCTTTTCTGAAAAAAAGCAACAGAAAATATCTGAAAATGTATAAAAGACAACATCTACAGAAGAAGAGTAGCATTTGCAGCTTCTTCTAATAAACTAGTTTCTTAGGGAATAACTGCATTAAAATTAATCAGACAGCTACACTTCAAATTAACCAGCAAAAATGCTCATTTTCTTTTCATACACTGTATGTAAGTACGCTTAACTATCATTTACTCAGTGGGGGGCATGGATAAAAAAGGCACGTAATATGAGTGCATTGGTTTACTTCTTCTCACCAAGAATATATCAGAAACAAAGACTTAGTTTTCTGAGATTGTTAGTTTGTAGTCATTGACCTTCCGTTTCAAGTTTTAATTTGAATTTTGGATGTAATATTTTTTAACCTCTAGAAAATTCAGCTATTAGTTGTTGACCTTTCAAATTTATGATCCTAGAACACCTATTCAAAGTGTTTCTTTGTGTTTGTGAGGGTATCTGAGGCTGTCTGTCTATGTCTGTGTGTGTATGCATACATGTCCAGATAAACAATACACCTTAAAACATAATTTAGTCACCTGATTGTCTCTACTCCAGTATTCTCTTACCAGTAGTGGCCATCAGCAGATACTTAGAGCAAGTGCAGTATGAATGTGACGCTTGCATCTAATATTTTCCTAATACACGATTTTCAACTGAGAGAATTTACTGAACTGGATGTGCCTCCTAGGTGCCTAATAGTGTTTTGTCAACTGTATTGTTAGATCCGTGCAAACCAGTAAAACTTACAAAGTTCTTTCCATTGGAGCTATCAGGCCTTTGGGATTTAACCCACTGATTAAATCCTGCTGGGATCTAGGTTACACGGTCCTGTAGAGTTGTTTTTAGGAAGCTAGTCACTGGTTTTCACATAGCTAGAAAACAGACTTCCCATGAAGGTCTAGTATCACAGCCAGCTGACAGGGGAAGGACTATGACCACACAGTTTTATTAAACACGCCTGGACCATTCTCTTCCACTAACACCAAGAGGCATTGGATGCCCAGCATTCATAGAGAAATGTATTTCATCTTTCACCATGCAGACACATAATCCGTATTGCCTACTGAGAAGAGTCCTTATCCCAGTTAATTCTCAAAATATACTTAGAAACTGTTAATGTAAAATCATGAAAGTTGGCTGAAAGGTATGGCAGAAGTGCTCCTAAAAACTTAATATTACAGAGGAATGAGTTCCACTACTCAGAAACATTTCCAGACACCCTTACTATGATTGTAGCCTGTGAAAAGCAGTAACTTTTAGGAACAGACTTACTTGCTTTGTTTCCTGCCATCCCAATCCTAATTGCAGTTCCTGATCATCTCACGCAAATTCACTCCTCTCTTTCCCACCCTGCCATGAATTCTATCTGTTTCTGCATTGTCAGCCTGATCTCCCCTTCTCTCCTTTGACCTATTTTTTGCAGAATTCATAGTTAAGGCTCTGCATAGACTTATATTTGATGATCCTTATAAGCAAAATTAAGTCCCAGTTAGTTGTTTTCAGTCCAGATTTGCATGATGTGATTAGTGATGGTCTTTTTCACATCCTAATCTTCAAATGTATCTTGTGACACGTAGTCTTTGCGACAAGAATAAGAGTCTTTAGAGGAAGTCAGTATGAAGGAATGTGGACATAGATTTCATGGGTATTTCTTCATGATGGGGAAATCATATGTCCTTCACCTCAAAAAGCTATGTGTCATCAGTACGTAAAGTGATTCAGAGACTATTATATGCTCCTGAGGCCAAATTGTGACCTGGCTTTGTGTCCACATAGCTTGTGCCTGCTCCACTGAGAGGGCAGCATCACAGCTTTCAGGCTGGCTAATGGGAATAGGTCCTGACAGCTGCTGTTTCACAAATCACATCCAGGCATCATCTGGCATGTGCTGAAACTGTGTTAAGGAGTGTGATAATGACAAAAGAATTCAACGATCTCCAACAGTACTGTACTGAACTTCTGACTGTGCCCTGGCCTTATTTTATGTAGTAGAATAGGTGTAGGCTAAGTCATTCCTCACTTATTCTCCATAAATGTTGGCTTTTCACAGAGTTCAGTCTACAAAAGTAGCAACATCTGGAAACAGCTGTCTTCTCTGCCTAAGTCTTCTCTGCAGCAGCAGATGGAGTGTCAGCATGCCTTCATTCTGCTCCAATTTCTGTTTCAGATCTATTCTTATACATTTCTCCATGTATAAAATAAAGTAGGAGTTAGATATGAGTAACTAATCAAGTACATAAAGTAGGTGTTGATTTTCCCATTGCAAAAACGAGAATGAGAAGAGAATGGTAACAGTTGCTGCACGTGGAAGATGTTGGTGAGCAGCCCAAGCATTGAATTTGCAGAGACAACAGCTCTTATTTTCACCTCAGATATGCACAGCCTGATTTGAAGGGTCAGCTCAATGAATTCAGTGAGATAAATCTGTTTTAAATTCCAGGGCATTTTACAGTAGAGTAGTTGATTTTTTCACTGACTCACTTTGCTTCTGGGCCTTCTGTGATTGCTAGACCTGAATGTCAGACCTCACTTGTTTGCCTAATGTCATCCATCAATTATAAAATGGCATCTCTCATTGGAATCAGTGTAACCAGGTTGATGAAACATACACTATAAACAACAATTATGAAGAAAATTAAAGAGAGTTTTCTAGCGAGTACATACCCGGACAGTGATTCAAAACTGTGACTCTGTCACTCATCTTCACTTCTATCTAGTGCTGTATAGGCTACCTTTTGCAAGCCATTTATCCAACCTCTTTCTTATCCTATACAAGTATAAAACGGGATAATGATTTTGAAGTATATCAATAGATATTAACTCTATACATGCAATGAACTGCGATGTGCAGTAAAAACACCTACATGCACTCATGATTAGATGCACGCTGATATACATCCAAAGCCTCCTGATTGCCATTAGTCTTTCTCACTAATTTTTAACTTTTTGTGTAATTCATATACGTATTATTTATAAGCACATGTAAAATTATTATAATATTTTTATTCATGGAATTTATCTGCATGTAAGCATAAAGTTTCATACCAAAAGAGCTTAAAAATCAACCGTTAGAGTGGGATGCTAAAGACAGGACAAACATAAAACCTGGATAGGAAGTTGGAACATCTATTTTCTGATATATCTTATGCATGTTATTTTTCACTTATCCAGCCCTGCGCTGTTTATCACTTGTGTTTACCTGCTGTACTTGCCACACAGACTGCAACTGCCTGAGGTAGGGACTGCTTTCTTTGTTATATGTCTGTACACTCTGTCGTTGCACAATCGATCCTTGATTAGGTGCCTAGGCAGTAATGTGGTGTAAATAAATAATAAGAACTTTCCAGTTCATGGCCTTTTGTGACTAAATTAAAGACAGAATGGGATGGTGAAATGGCTATATTGTAAACTGAAGTCAATAAGGACAGCAGACTAGCCTTGTTGTCCCTGAATACATCATAAAAATAACATGCACTAACAGTAAAACTCTGTTTTGGTTCAAAAAAGAGCCAATAACTAGCAATGACATAGATTTACTTTATTTCTTAGTATAGTTTGGATGACCTTCCATGCTTGTCAGCTGGGACCCAGCTGGATTAGCTGGCAATGCCTTAGGGAATGACAGGTATGAGTGGTCTTCATAATCTATTAATCCTAGTCCAATCTGCCAGTATACAAAGGGTTGTGAATTAATACAAGCACTACTAACAGCATATGAAGTAGACATTTGTCTTCTTGGAAAATGCTTGAACAATATATTCATAGGAAGATATATTCATCATAGAAGAGCATAGTTGCAAGCCGTTTGTGGTCTTGTGCTACTAGTATTCATTTAAAAAAAAAAATTAGTCTCAAGTTTATGTCAAAAGAATATGAAACGACTTAGTAGTTGGGAGCTTGAAAGGAAGGTCCGTGGGCAGAAGCCTCAGAGCATGGCAGGGCCTTGCACTCTTCCTTGATGGCCAGCATATCCAGCATCAAATAGCTGAAAGGAGGAAGAGTTAAGGCTATGAAAATCAGAGTTCAGTCATCACTGAGTTTCTGCAGCCACTGTTGGCAAGTGTGCAATAGCTGGACTTGACTGCCATAGGGAGGGATGTAGCCTCTTGGGTACACAGGAGTCAGCAGAACTGGGAGATTTAAAGAATGGCTTTTGTACTTGAAGAACTCCTGAAAGTGAATTTTAAGGCCTAATGAGATCCCTGTGGTCTGTGTGATTAAGCTGACTGGTCACAGTAGTCCTCTCTAGACCAAGCTTCTTCCTCAGAGATAAATTTATGGAGGAGCATTTGATCTGTCTGTAGGTCAAAGTGGTACCAGTAACTAAGATGAGCTTCCCACCTAAAAGACATTGCTGAAGCAGTTCTGTTGATCATAAAATTAAGAAAGAAAAACACTACATGGCAGAAAAACCTCTTAGGAATAGAGGGCAATCAAGAATATGATTATAAATTAAAATAAATTATGCTGAAAACCTTATTTCTCAAATTACTAGCTGCTAAGGTCTTTACAAAATGTCTGTAGTAAACCAGCTTTATTTTTTACTTACTTTGATCTTGACTCATCCAGTCTGTTTTTATCCAAGTCTCCATTTCAGGAAAATATGAAGACAAAGATCTCCTGGAAAAGGAATTCAAAACTGCCCTCATGACAGTGGTGATATCATCACCTTCATCATGACTTGGCTAAGCTTATCCATTGTTCTTAACTGCGTGTTGAAGATCTGGGGTACCACAGCGCCTCAGGACCATTGTGGCGATGTTATTCTTGAGAAATTCCTGGAAGAGAGAAGTTGGACGAACCGCTGAGTAATCCCATCCAAGTCTGACAGTGTCTGGCAGTGCAAAACTTCACTGATTTGAAGTTTTATGATGATCTGTGTTCACTTTTACTGAGAGGCTTGCCTGATCAAACATTTACTTTGTAGAGTTTTGATATGACATAGATAAATTTGGGTCATTCTAACTGACCTATATTTCTTAAATCTAGGAAGTTCACATCAGAAACCAAAATTGTGAAAAAAGTAAAAAAAGTTTGAGAAAGTCTTGTAGTGTGTATCTCAGTGCCTTCCCATACTACAAAAACTTGCATGCTGCTAGCAAAAATTGAGTAATTTTCCCTGTTTCCACGTTTTTAAATTTGTTTTAAATTTTAGGGAAGAAATATAGCAAGTCTCCCATAGCCATCTGGGACCACCTTAAATAATGTGTATGCCTTGCTCTAAGGATCTTAACACTTGCCTGGTTTACCCTATGACAGCTTTGAATTTGCTCAACAGAGATTTAGCAGTGTATGTGGTGTATCACATGTGGCTGTCAGAGTGGAGAAACTAAAAGCAAGACAGCAGGGGAAGTGGGAAGGCTTACAAAAAAAGCATTCTAAGATAAATTGTTTTTTCTGGACTACATTGTTGTTTCTGTGGTTTGAAGTTTTGCACATCTCACAAAGTAGTTTATGAGTTCATAAGGTTCATGAAGGCAAGTAGTGCCCAGAAGTACCCTTTTTCTTGTAGTGTGAGCTTGCTTGCCACTTGGAAAGATATTTGAGCTATTATGAAATATTCCTAGATAAAGAGAATTTTATGCTGTTTAAGCACCGTATATTCAATTTATATATGTGTATATGTATGTGTGTAAATATACATGTGTGTATGTGTGTGTATGTATTATGCATTTAAATTGGATTTTCCTCTCTCCTTTTTTAAGCTTCTTTATTCACAGTATCTCAGTTTTGGCTCATTACTGATCCATTTTTACTCCTTAGGTAACATTTTCAAAAGTGCCGTTGTATGTAAGAAAGTAAATGGCATTCAGACTCTGAAGGCAATTTAGGTGCTTTTGAAAATGGGGTCAAAGTTTCCTTGTCATTTGAATGCATAAAAATTTTTACTTTCTGTGCTTATAACAATTTATTATTAGTATCACAGTAACATAGAGAAGGCCAGTCATGGGAACAGAAGAACTCCATTGTGCTAGGTTTTGAATAAGCATATTCTAAATAGATAGCCTATGACTCAGAGGATTTAGGAATTACTTTTTTTTCCCCTCTGTCTGCCCCTCTGTTTTCTTTTTTATTGGTTGTTTTTAAGAAGAATGCAAGTAATGTTAAAACTTAAATGTACAATGTTTGAGTAGTTTGGAAGGAAAGAAAACAGAATTTGCTCATCCATGGTCTTTAGTAAGGGAAGAGATCAATTGCAAAGATGAACTCTTAAAAAACCAAATGAGAAAAATCTGAATAAGCAAACACTTGAGTGAGCAGGAAAAACTCTGTCCTGTTCGGAGCAAATAAATGTTAACATTAAGAAGACCACATTTGTTAAAAAAAAAAATCAATTATTAATCTAATGATCCTGCCAATATAAATTAATAACCACTGGATATTTTAAGAGACCATTATACTTGATCAGGAGGAATTTCTTCACAGAAAGGGTTGTTAAACAATGGAAGGGACTGTCCAGGATGATGGTGGAGTCACCATCCCTAGAGGTGTATTACACTCCAGATTTTAAGCTATAAGCTGCCCAGAGCAGTTACATTTTATTTAAGACTTTTTAAAAGCCTTTTGGTTGGTTATAACCTCGAATTAGTGTCCGGAGAAAGAGTCACGCACTCTTTCTAAGAATTTCTAAGAGAAATTCTTTTAATTTAGTGAGAAAAATAGGATATTTTGGCAAAAATTTTTGCAGGAGTAAAATACAACCAAGAAAAAATATTTCACTAAAACACTGAGCACAAAGACCCATTCCACAGAAAACACCACAATCAATATACTAGCTTTAGTAAAACACAATTCATTATTTTTAACTTTCCCACAAGAGAAGGAAGAGAGTAAAAGAAGAAAATATATTAAAAAAGTAAAAAGAGAGAAGAAAGAGAGGAGGAAAATAAAATGATTACTGACAAGATCTGATGGTTCATATGGTTTTGGTTGCAGGAGAAGAGAGAGAGAGAGAAAAGGAAAAATAGTTACCAACAAGATCTGATGATTTACATGGAAGAGAGAGAGATCACATGGAGTGTCACGAATTCACAGTTCAGTTTTCCCTCCCAGGCAGGATATCCTGTCCTTGCCTTCCAGGCCAGAGTGAGTTGTGCTGTAGCAGTCACAGGCTCCAGGGGTCATGGTGTGGTCGGGCTACCAGGCAGCTCTGCCTGGACTGACAGCCCGGCTGCAGGGCCTGCAGCTCTGCCCTGTGCTCTGCGTGGGCTGCAGGCCTTTGTTACGACCCACCCCAGAAAAAGGGGAGAGGAGTAACCCAGGTTCTTATCAATAATTCCCTTGGGGTGGATTAGAGTGAAACGACACTGAATAATCGGTGTCTGAAAACATACATAGGTAGGGTTTATTTTAACAATTGCTCATCAGAGGTATAATGCAAGTCAAAAGTCTGCAAACTTGGCTCTTTACTGGAGGGAGGGATGGGCCCAACTGTCCATCCAAAATGCAAGTCAAAAGCCTGCAAAAGTCTCCTAGAATGCATAAATCATTAAACATTTCAGCCTCTGACAGCCTTGCCTTCAGCTCTGCCCTGTGCCCTCAGCACAGGCCTGATGTGCAGGCCCTGCCATGTTCCTGCAGGTCCAGGCCCAGCCCTTCCCCACACGCACTCAGACACTCACTGTGAGTTGGTTCCGACCCACATCCATAATTCAGTGAGATTCGGATCCAGTATCTCACAAAGTGTTCAAGAAACAGCTGGATACGGCATTTGGTGCTATGGTCTAGGTAACAAGGTGGAGACCAGTCAAAGGTTGGACTCGATGATCTTAGAGTCTTTTCCAACCTAAATGGTTCTGTGATTCTGTGATGCAGTTTGTAATAGTCTTTCTGTGCCTTGACTGTGATCATATGTGAAATATAACTGATTTGTAAGAATGTAAGGGTGAGTCCCTTTGATTCTAAATCAGTGCAACTCTCTCCTTTGTTCTCTTGGTTTGCCTTCAGTAAAGGAAAATATTTCAGGGAAATATCTTTTTGCTATGGGAACAAAAAGGGGGAGAGTAGTATCATATGAATACATTGATGTTCAATGGTCAAATTCATATCTCCAATTCAAGTTCTACAGGTATTTACAAATCACACAGTTCATTAAATCTTCTAGATGTTACCTATTTTTTAAGAAATAAATAAAATAAAATAAAATGCACAAATAACCCCAATCACAGAAAGTAATTTAGGAACTTTTTCTGTGTTACTCATACTGCAAAACTGCAAATAACACACAATAATGTATTGTTCTCTTAATTTCTTGAATCATCTCTTATTTTGGATGGTACAGCCAACAGTTGAATTCTTCAGCAGTATTGTTTTCATTACTTTGTTTTGCTGTTAATAACCCATATAGGCATTTGTCAAATGTTAAAAATTCCACTTTATTGTATAAAATAATTTATTAGATTTTCAGGTATTGTACATTAACAGGACACCTATTGACTTACAATAGTGGGACTGTGTTCATTTGTAAGTATCAGACCCATTGAATTCACTTAGCCTCCAGAAGCACTTACAGGACTCCGGCTGTTTGAATAACTATGGTCATCGTGCTTTGCTTATGTGGATGTGTACATATCACATGTCCTTATACCCTTATCAGTAGGGTATAAGGATTTTTCCCTCTTTTTGTCTTTACATGGCCTACCTAAAAGCCAGGACAATTCTGGTACACTGTGGCAAAATGTAAGCTGCAAAGAATGAATGGCATTTTCTTCCCTACTCTGCTTTTTGATTAGCATTAAAATATCAATTTCAGAGCCAATAGGAGTAGCACAGACATTCAGAGTCAACAGGAGTACCGCAGACATGGTGTTTGTTCTCAGATAACTGCAAGAGAAGTGTAGGGAACAGAACAGAGGTCTCTATGTAACCTTTGTTGACCTCACCAAGGCTTTCAATACTGTGAGCAGAAAAGGTCTATGGCAGATTTTGGAATGCTTAGGTTGTCCCCCCAAGTTCCTCAAAATGATCATCTCACTCAATGAGGATCAGCACGGCCAAGTCAGATATGGTAATGCACTTTCTGAGCCCTTTCTAATAACTAATGGTGTGAAACAAGGCTACGTTCTCGCACCAACCCTATTCACAATCTTTTTCAGCATGATGCCCCAAAGGGCCACAGCAGACCTCGAGGATCAGGACGGTATCTACATTCGATACCGTACTGATGGAAGCCTATTCAACCTAAGGCGACTGAAGGCCCACACTAAGACCTTAAACCGTCTTGTCCGGGAGCTGCTTTATGCTGATGACGCTGCCCTTGTCTCCCACACAGAAGCAACCCTGCAGCGTTTAACATCCTGCTTTGCAGACGCTGCTGAGCTCTTTGAGCTGGAAGTCAGTTTAAAGAAGACAGAAGTTCTCTATCAACCTGCACCACAGGAAGTCCCCCATCATCCCCATATCACCATTGGCAAACCAGTGCTCAAATCAGTCCAGAAGTTTAACTACCTAGGTAGCCTCATCTCCTCCAATGGTAAGATTGACGGAGAGATAGACAACAGGTTGGCAAAGGCATATAGTGCCTTCAGAAAGCTTCATAAAAGAGTTTGGCGAAATAAACACTTGAAGAAAAGTACCAAGATCAGTGTTTACAGAGCCATAGTGCTGTCTACTCTCTTATATGGATCCGAATCATGGGTCATCTACCGCCACCACCTGCAACTCCTAGAACGCTGCCATCAATGCTGTCTCCATGCAATCCTAAACATTCACTGGTCAGATTACATGACTAATACATCTGTTCTAGAACAAGCAGCAGTCACAAGTATTGAGGCCATGTTACTGAGAACACATCTGTGCTGGGCAGGGCACGTCTCCAGGATGAAGGACCACCACCTCCCTAAGACCTTGCTTTATGGTGAACTTGCCACCGGTTACCGCATGAGAGGAGCCCCAAAGAGAAGATACAAGGACTCCCTGAAACAACATCTCAGCCTTGGCCATATTGATCAACATAACTGGTCAGCTCTGGCCTCAAATCGAGAGGTCTGGAGACACACCATCTATAACGCAGCTGATGCCTTTGAGAACGCACGCAGGATCACTCTTGAGGAGAAAAGACAATGCAGAAAGAATCGTGTCTTGCAGAATATACCACCTAAGGAGTCTTTCTGCTGTGCCTTTTGCAGCCGGACGTGCCTGTCTCGTATTGGCCTTTTTAGCCACCAGCACGCTTGTAACAAACGTGGGTAGAGCCCTCCCCAAATCTTCGTTCGTGAAGCCCAGCCATGATGATGATGAAAATATCACTTATGTCAGAAGGTCTGAGCTAAATCCAGAGGAGATGGAAGTGCATTGAAGGTCAGATACTTCTTCCAAACTGAATATTGCATGTGTGCTCTGGTGTGTTCAGGTTTTTGGCCTCTGTCAAGTAGAGCACCTGGACTCTTCCTTCCTCTGTATTTCTGGAAGACTTTATCACAGAAACCACTACATGTGAAGGCTGGTATTTTCCCTGATTGTCTCACAAAGTGAAGCTAGAAAATGTCTGGGATGTTATATCTGAACACAAAAGCTGAAGAGTTTCCCCTGGAGATGAAACTACTAGACTTATTCCTCTGTATCCTTAACATAATAGAATATTGAGATGATTGTGCAGAGTCTAATTTTGTTTTGTTAAACATATGAGATCTCAAGTCATTATTTAGTTTTAATGTCTGTGGGTAAAACATAAATGAATTTTTTTCTGTTGCATATGCGAGTTTTCCAAATTGATTAAAATATTTGTGCAGAAATTAAGAAATAAAACAGCAGCGACAGAACTAACTGTTTGGAAAAGGAGAAGATTAGTATATCCTAACCAAGGTTAGGGGGCTTTTTTGTTTGTTTGCATTTTTTCTTGAGGGGGAGGGAACAAGGATTTTTTTAGTCATTGTTCTTTAACCTGGAGCTGCCTATGAACTAACTGTATTGAGCAGATAGCTCAGGTATGACCTAAAAAAGTATTGAAATATAAGGTGTCAAGTGTGTTTTGTCAGGTTTGTAATGCAAACAAGAGAATAGAAATATATTCAGAAATGGAGTCTATTTCCTTCCTCAGTTAAAAATTTTTTTCTTTCTTTCATCTCCCATATTCTTTTTCTCTCTGTAAGTATTGATTATTGAAATAATTCCTACAGTTGAACTACATTTAGATGTTTTCAGCTGCTAAGTGCTGAAACATTTACTAAGTAGTTTTCAAATGGCCCCCATTTTCTGAAACTCTGGGGTCTTTTGTTATATGACTGAGACAGAAAAGCTGCACAGAAGTACCCATGCACAGAGAAACCAGCTAATCAATAGAAAACAGTACTATCAATGATTAATAAATACGTCTTGAAAATCAATACACAATAGGGATTTGAAATGTTAGTGATTTCACCAGTGTTTCAAGAGTCATCTTCCCATGACAGCTCAACCTTAGCATTAAAGTAATTTCATTTGTCAGGAATCAGTTAAGTGTTCTAAGTTTTAAAAATTACAAGAACCTTTTTGCTGAAAAAGCATTGTATCCGCAATCAAATGTTCTGTTCAAATGTTCAGTTGCACACATTCATACACAAAGGGCAAGATTATTGCATTTGAGCTCTGACCCTTATAGAAGATACAGGTGGAGCATTAGGGAACCATCTATAGCTGCTTTATCTGTAGCCCTGGTCTTGACAATACCTACAGCAATTACTGTGCTCATTAAAATATGTCTACTTATTTCAGTGCAATGATGGAGCTCTGGTTTCTCAGACCAATCATGTTACAGCAAGATCCCCTTCCTGCAGCAACAGGCAGCCTAAAAAGAACTGGAAAAAAGCGGCTGCTATGGGCCCAGCTAAGTGAGTTGCTGGTTCATCAGTGCTATTGCACTGGAATTTTCCAAAATCCTACTTATGCCCTTTACCTCAGCAGGTTGATACTTTAAACCAGGAAATTTTTAAAAAGACATTTCTTATGTGAAAGTCTCACACTTACTTTTATGTCTTATTCTGACATTTTAAATGGAATTTGTGAAGTTGCTTCCTTTGCTTCTTTTTTTCAGCTTTCTGTTTATTCAGACTAGAAGTTGATAACTCCTACAAAAACAAATCAGAGCTTTTTTTGGGAGGTGGGTGGACTTTTGGTTTGCAAATGAAGTAAGGAAAATAAATTGAGGTTTTCCCTGTGTTCTTCAAAGTATTCCTTTGTTGGAAAATCCATTTCTCCTCCTGATCTATTTCTCTTTGAAGAAGAATTCTTAGCCCGACCTTTGCAGCCCGTTTCTGACCTCTTCTTGCCTTATTTTAATATGTGTGTGTACATGTATATTCAATGCTTAAAGATAGCATACTGGTACTTCTTTTCTCATCTTTGTGCTAGATGAATAGATTGCATGCTTAGGATTTTCGTCTCCCTGCCATGACCACCGTGAATATGTATACACATACGCAGAATTCCATCTAAGTCCCTTATTTCTGAAAATATTTAAACAAAAAATAAAACCATAAAGATACTTATAGATTGGAAAGTTGACACAAGTAGCTGGGAGATCCAGCTGGTTTATGTGCAATCTATCATCT